GCGCGCCTCGAACGAGGCTAGAGCAGCATACGTGGCACGAGTTTTTAAAGCAGCCAGGGAGCCATGGTGTTTCTTCGGCGAGGCCCCCGCCCCGGGCGTCGGAGGAGGAGGTTCGGAGGACTCGTGCGCCGAAGCCTGGGCTAACGTTGGAGGAGTTGCAGCAAGGCCAAGAAGATTTCTGTGCTGCGTGTGCTCGCATTAACGTGCGAGACTGCGTCGTACGCCACCCGACTGGAGTTTCCCAGGCGGAGTGTGGCGTCTCTTTATGCTGCCGAATGAATACAAGTATTCCCGCACTGATGCGCCTGAGTTTGACGAGAATGATCTGCATTTCCCGAATATCGATACATGTTTGCTGTGGATTCGCATTTCTGTGCGTCACCATTGGGAAGCGCCCCTGGTGTGGCATAGGAGCAGGGCTTTCTCTCTGGATCGACTTAACGGCAAACGCGAGTGGAAGGGCCAGAGGCTTGTACACTCGCTGGACTCCTTCGGTCAGACTTACTGCGGCTACCGCTGGTGCTGCTACCCGCTTCGCACGAGCGCTACCGGCCGCGTCTACTCGTTTGGTTATCTCCAAGGTCGGCGGCGTGAAGAGGCAATAGTAGCACAGAGCATCAGCGATGCGCGTCTGCGCGTCTGCACGGGAGCTAGATAGGTGGGATGACCACACTGTTTGATGCGACTAAGGCGTTTCACAGCGTACATCACGAGCATCCAGAGGCGTATGTTGATACATATAGCGATGAATTCGGGGCTGAGTTGTTTAAGCAAAGGTTACGTTTCGCACAGGTCTCGATTGACTGCACTGACGGCACTCTTGTTTTAGGCATAGGACAAGGCACACTACCTGGTGACACGATCGCTTGTATATGGTTCCTGGGGCCGTACAATACACAGTTGGGACGGATTTCGAGAATCGGAAACTCGCAGATTATCGGTGCAGGTGCAGTGGTTTCGGCATTGTCTGCCGAATGCGCCTGATGGTCGACAGTTTCTGAATCACCTGGCGCGCGAGTTCTATGATATATCGGTGTCGAGCTTCTCGGACGATGTGGCGAGGACGTCTGCAGTAGAGGACGCTGCAGACTGCAGGGTCAGATGCAGCTCACAGTTGTTGCACTGGGGCTCCCAGATGAACGAGATAGGCGTTGCTGTGAATGGGGACAAGCAGGTATCATTGGTGCAGTTGGAAGGACATGGGACTGAACAGGGCATGAGGAGGCTGTATCGAGACGAGGGAGCGTTACGAGGGCAGGTGCGGAGAGAGGCGCCATACTTGGGAGGCAGGCTGCAGTTTCCGGGAAGCGCGAAGCCTGCGATCGACAATCGCATCAAGCGTGCGAAGCAGGCGTTTGCTGTCTTGGGTAGTTGTTGGCCTGAAGTTATGAGCGATCGGTGGCGATCGGTTATTTTCAAAAGTACGGTGCAGGGCGCTCTAGACGCGGAGAAAAGAATTATCCCAGTGCGACCCTACCTAGGAGTTGGAGCCCCTAGGAAACCAGCATTAGTAGTAGCAGTAAAGCTAAGCTAAAGCTAAGCTAAAGCTCAGCTAAAGCTAAGCTAAAGCTAAGCTAAAGCTAAGCTAAAGCTAAGCTAAAGCTAATATAAAGCTAAACTAAAGCTAAGCTAAAGCTAAGCTAAAGCCAAGCTAAAGCTAAGCTGAGGCTAAGCTACAGCTAAGCTCACGCTAAGCTAACTATAAGCTAAAGCCAAGCTAACGCTAAGCTAAAGCTAAGTTAAAGCTAAGGTAAAGTTCAGCTAAGAGCTAAGCTAAGAGCTAAGCTAAAGCTAAGCTGAAACTAAGCTGAAGCTGAGCTAAATATAAGCTAAAGCTGAGCTAACGCTGAGCTAAAGCTAAAGCTAAGCTCAAGCTAAGCTAAAGCGAAACTAAAGCTAAACTAAAGCTAAGCTAAAGCTAAACTAAAGCTAAGCTAAAACTAAGCTAAAGCTAAGCTAAAGCTAAGCTGAAGCTAAGCTGACGCTAAGCCGAAACTAAGCTAAAGCTAAGCTAAAGCCAAGCTGAAGCTAAGCTAAAGCTAAGCTAAAGCTAAATTTAAGCTAAAACAAAGATACAGCTAAACTACAGCTAAACTAAAACTAAGCTACAAATAAGCTAACGCAAAGCTAATGCTAAGCTAAACATAAGCTAAAGCTAAGCTAAAGCCAAGCTAAAGCCAAGCTAAAGCTAAGCTAAAGCTAAGCTAAAGCTAAGCTAAAGCTAAAGCTAAGCTAAAGTTAAAGCTAAAGCTAAAGCTCCCAGGGGACTGGGGGAACCGCTCCCAGTGGATACTGGGGGAACCGCCCGGGGCGCTTTCCACTGCCCGGCCCCTTTAAGCCCAGAGAGTAAGAACCCTTCTAGGCAGAGCCTAGGTGGGGAACATATCCTCTTGGGGAGACTGAGATACAGAGACTGGAGGGAGTTCAGGCGTCTTTAGCAAGACGAGCGTTGCAAGGTAAAGGGTGTCTGAAGTTTGCTGCCACTGAAGACCAGCCAACAAAAAGAAGGTGCCCTCTCGAACGCACAGATTCGGGAGCAGATTAAACTTCGGACACCCTCCAGTATATTGCGTGCATGGCGTGTCAGCTGGTGGCAGGAGCTCGTGCTGTCTCCCGAGCGGAACACCTTGATGCTGGCATCGCTCTTCGGCTATGCTGCGTGGGACAAACATTGCTTATGTGATCGATACGGTTCGGCTTTTTCGTCGGCTGGTGCCAGCGCTGTTCACCCATGGTGGAGCCAATTCTTGCTGGATATTTCTGTTTGCATCGCGGAGCTCGGTATGCCAGAGGTGCGACTGGTACTTTTGGCAAGCCTGTTGCCTTGTTCTGTGACGACAGTATCAGGAAGGCCTTTTTGGAGGTCAAAGTATCGCAGGTGAAGAGGATTTCAGGAGGATCGAGGACGTTCCAGGAGATCTACCAGGAGGTGATGGAGATTGGGGAAAGTTCCCAGGACAACGGAGGAGACGTGGAGAGAGACGGAGGGGATGTTGAGGCAGCTGGAGGAGAGGGACAAGGAGGTGTGGTTAGAGAATCCGCCTGTGCCATTTGTGCCAGATGCAGCCCCAGCGCCATACGAGTGCGACATAGAGGGCTGCGGCATGGCGTTCACTACGAAACCTCAGCTCCTTCTTCATCAGGCCAACTCTAAAGCAGCTGGCCACGAGCAGAAGAACCTTGCCAACATCCTCACTATTTCCAAAAAGTGTATTAAGCGTGACAATTTTTACACGACCCGTCGGTACGCATCAGATCACCTTGCTGCCAGTCTAGCTCGAGGCCAGTGCCCTAATTTAGAGGCTCGGTGACGATACATACACATGTGGTGAGCCCCCCTTACACATGCGAGATATGTAACATCGAGTTTCAGAGCTATGCTATTGCACGGGGGCATATGGTAACACACATACCTTGAAGTATTCGACTTAAGTAGAGGCATCCCGTTTTTCCGGCGTATGTGGCATTGTGGCATTGTGGCTCAGTCATCATCAGGGCGTTATTGCGACCATTTCAGCAGCCTCCTCTTCATTGGGGGCGCACTCTTGCGTGATCTTCAGTACTCTCGTGCGTTTCAGGGCTGGGCGATGTCGGCTTGGTCGGATCAGTTTGGCGCGGCTGGTGTTCCAGGTGACGCTTCTGCTGCGCCAGCTGGTCGTGGTGTGAAGTATGCCAAAGTAGAAAGCACGGAGGACAAGGCCAAGCTCAACTTGGCGCTGAAGCTTGGAGTGATCGCGAACCAGAAGAATAGGCTGCTCGAGGCGGCGTGCACGGTGCAGGTTGAGATCCCCACGGACGGCAGCTTGTGTGTTGCCATGCTCAAGGCCCAAAACGAGGAGTACATCCCACGGGTCCGAGGCAAGACGGGGCACGGCTTGGGGCCGCCAGACCCGTTCCTCCTGACGGCTGCCTGCTTGACGATGGTCGACTCGGCTCCCGAACCTCTCAAAGCCGACGTGCAGAGGCACTTGACGGTGTACAAACCAGGGAGCTATGAAGCCCAGCACATGATCGGTCTGTTTCGCATGGAGAAGATGTTCGCCTCAAAGAAAGAAGCGGCGCCTGATCATAGTGATGAGGGATGAGAAGTGGGAGAAGTCGTTGGTCACGGTGATGGAAGAATTCATCAAGAGGAAGGCCTTTTCTGGGCCGCGACCGCCTGGGCACCTGGAGCTCGAGGGTCAGAAAATCTTGGAGATATCGTGAGTCGGGTTGCTGTCTGTGCGTGTGCAGTCGGTGCCGTCAGCATTGCTGTGAATTTTGTGGATGCCGTCCTGTGTCTCCGCCGACACTCGTCGATGCGCTGTCTTTCAGCAATTGCCGCGCAGTTCTGCGTTTTCGTGGTTGTCGCCTCGCCGCCGCAGGGATGCCTCTGTGGGCCTCGCTCTGGTCTGGAGTTTGGCCCTCTCTGCATGCAATGGTCCATCCTGCCGTCGTCCGTCGTCCCTCCTCTCTTCTCTCTCCCTTCTCGCTCCTTTTCGGGTCCTCCCCCCCTCTGGGGCTGTCCCTTGCTGGGTGCCGGTGAAGGGGCCGTGCGGTTGTGCCTGGCCCTGTCGCCTCTCCTGGCCTGGTACTGCGCCAGCTCTCTCTTGGTTCTTCCGCTCGTTGCTGCTTGCTGATGGACCGAGAGCTCGTGCGCCCGTCGCGAAGGGCCGTGCACGGGCACCGCCCGAAAGGGCCTGCCGTTCGTGCCCCACGTTCAGTGCGGTGCCGAGCAGCTCGACTTGAGGGGATCCTCTCCTTGGTTCGACCCGTCGTTGAACCCTTGAGGAGCACCGCCTCCTCCGCCTCCTCCTCCTCCTCCTCCTCCTCCTCCCCCTCCTCCTCCTCCTCCTCCTCCTCCTCCTCCTCCTCCTCCTCCTCCTCCTCCTCCTCCTCCTCCTCCTGCTCCTCCTCCTCATCCTCCTCCTCGCTCACCACGAGCACGCCATCATACAGCAACACTGATACAATATGGGCCGGCGGAGTGAGCGAAACGACTCAATGCTTAGGGCCCCGGCGCAGGAGCGGCACCAAAGCGATCGTCGCGTCCCTGCCGTGCGCCGTCGTGCCCGGCTGGTGCCGCGCCTGGCGGGCTCGAGAAGCCCACAGGGGACACCACCACCACCAACGATACACCAGGGAGGCTCTACGACGCCCGCGGTACACCGACACCGGAAGAAGAGGCGGAGGAAGAGGAGGACGAGGCGGAGGAAGAGGAGGAGGAGGAGGAGGAGGAGGAGGAGGAGGAAAAGGACGAGGAGGAATAAGAGGAAGGGGAGGAGGTCCATTACGACACCAACGGTGCACCGACACCGAGTGGGCCCAGGTCAGTCCTGGGCCACGGATCAGTGCACACAGTCGACCCGTATCATTAAGGACGCGCGACAAGGACGCAAGGTCCTTGGAAGGCCGTGCCGAAGCTTCTCGAGCGGGGCGCGGAAAAAAAACGAAAGCGGCCAGGGATGGACCGAGGAGGCAAGGATGCAAGGGTACCCTTGGGAAAGCTGCCCACCCTTACCACACGGGTTGGCTGTACGCCTCTCTTGCCGAGCCAAGGAGCCAGGACGGCACGTGCACCGATCCCGGGCCTAAGCTGGGCCTGTCCAAGATTGTGGTGTCGGTGCGCAAGTTCCGTCGTCCGAGGAAGCAATTTCCACGTCCTCCCGGTATACTCCTCCTACCGTGGCCACTGGCACGTTGCAACCACCATCCTTGACGAGACCGAAGGCATGCGCTTTGTTCGCTGGCGTTCGGGACCAAGTCCTGATGCGCGCAACCACTTTTTCGAACGACTACCTGACGATCTAGCAGGAGTGGTACAAACTGTTGCCATGATCGGCTCACGTCTTGCACACTCTGCGGGCTCTCACGCATGCCAATACTGCGCCACTCATAGAAACATGGCAGTTCGAGGCGATGACCACAGCAGAGTCACATGGTCAGAACGTTGCATCGTTCTACAAAACGTATGGCTACGACAAATTGGGTTGAATGGTCAGACTACGTGCCACGCTACAATCGAAGCAATAAGATCATCGCCCGTGACCACATGTTCCCCTGTTTCACATGAGCGTCACACACACCACTAGGCAGCAGCACACCCAAACTCAATGCGGTACCGATGGTTGTGGCTCTTTCACACGACCGCGCACACATGCATTGAGGAATGTGCGAAATGCGTGTGGATTCCCGTTTCGTCATTGCTGTGATTCGCACATGCGAGCAAGCGTGCGTGGTTAGGCACGTGTTGTTCCATTCGAGCGCATGTGGTGGTTGATGCCAATCTGTACCAGTTGCATGGGTAACGTAAGTGCCGTATACATCTAGCAGCATCGGACTTAAGCTATGTCGTATGCGCACGAATCAGTCGCATATTTCTGTTGTTCGTCCAGGGTGAGATGAGACATTGACACGAAACAATGTTCGAATATACCTGGATCGACCCAACTACATAGATGCCAGTAATGCCCGTCCTGGTATGTGCCCCAGCTTCCTCATCAACCTCCCTGATCCTTTTACTCCTCGAATCCCTCCTCCTCCTTTTCATCATCTCTTGAGGCGACAAAAATCAAAGCATGAAAAGTGAAAACTGACGTTCAATTCACTGGGCAAATTTTGCACCCCTTCCTCCCTCCTCCCTCCACCCCCTCCCCCGCCCCCCCCGCTTTCCTCCTCCTCCTCCTCCTCCTCCTCCTCCTCTTACCGTCTCTTTCGTTCCGTTCCCCTTCTCCTGCTCCTCCTCCATCCCTCCCTTCCTTCTTTCCGCTTTCTTGACGAACCTTTCTCCCCACTTTTCTCCTCCTTCTTCTTCTCCTCCTCCTCCTCCTCCTCCTCCTCCTCCTGCCCGTTCCCTAAGCGCCCTTACCTTGATCTTTCTACCTCCTCCCGCCTCCTTCCTCCATCCCCCTCCTCCTGTGGCTGTGGCGGGGCTGTCGGCACGGTGCCCGGGCTCGGACGCTGCCATCCCACCCCCCCTCCCCGAGCAGCGGTCGCTGCAGGGGGGGTCAAACTGGAGCCCGCACTTGGAACAAGTAGAAGCACGAACGAGCGAGGAGGGCTCCCCAGGGGGGGCGGGGCATCTATGTCCCCCCGCACCCCCGGGGGGGAAAGGAAAGAAAAGAGGTCCTCCTCCTCCTCCTCCTCCTCCTCCTCCTCCTCCTCCTCCCCCTCCTCCCCCGTCCTCCTTTTTGCAGTTGGCCAAGCCTCAGATTCGTGGCTGCTGCGTTCTGTGCGGAATGGGCACAGAAAACTCCGACGTGGCACACGCGGTAACATGCAGAGACAATTGGCGAAGGCTGAGGGGCCCGCGACGGCATGGAGTAACTAAGCTCCTCCTCCTCCTCCTCCTCCTCCTCCTCCTCCTCCTCCTCCTCCTCCATCCTTCTTCCCCATACGTAGCTCTTTCCTGTCGCGTTCCCAAGCGTGTGGGTAGAGGGACGAGGCATTTCGCCTGAGACTTTCAGACTCTTTCTGATCCTGAAGCACGAAGTTTGCAACTTTCTCACGGGATGGAGAGCTGGTCAGTTTCACAATGTGGCTCTTGCCTTGGCGCCGCGCGCATTCGTTATTTCAGTCTGTAACAGTTTCACGGACGGAAGGCTGGTCTTTTTCAAAATGTGGCTCTTGCCGTAGCGCCGCGCACATTCGCTATGAAAGTCTGCAACAGTTTCACGGATGCAGGGCGGATCCTTTTCAAAGTGCGGTTCGCGCCCTGGCCGCGCGCAGTCTTGTAAACGTTGCATAAGTTTCACATTTTGAGGGTAGAACATGTTCAACATGCGGTTTTCGTCTTGCCGCCGCGCACATTCGTTTTAAACGTTCAGCCACGGGTTCACTGGAGGGCGGTTCCTTTTCAAAATGCGGCTCTCGCCTGAGCGCCGCGCAGATACGTCTTAAAAGCAACAACAGTTTAAGGATTTGTATGGCTGAAATCCAAGGGTTGGTGTCCTAGCACGATTTCGGGTTGTCAAGACGCAACAGTCACGTTGATGCGCTGTGCCGAAGAACCAGGAACGGCGTCTGGCATGATTTACGGCTGTCAGGACGGAACAGGCACGTAGATTCGCGGCGTTGAAATCCAACGAATGGTGCTTTTGCAAGATTGAGGATTCTCAAACGGCTGTCTTCCAATGGGCCATTTCCCGCAACGGAGAAAAACTCTTGCAGGGACCCATGGGGAGAGCACTTGGAGGGAAGATGTGTGGCAACAACTTTGATGCCCCTTGGGTTTGCACTGCTCCTCCTCCTCCTCCGCCTCCGCCTCCGCCTCCCCCTCCTCCTCCTCCTCCTCCTCCTCCTCCTCCTCCTCCTCCTCCTCCTCCTCTGGCTTTCCCTATCCTCCGCCTTCTTCCTTCGCCGCTTCCTCCTCCTCCCTCCTCCTCCAGCCCCCCTCCTCCTCCCCTCCTCCGCCCTCTCCGTCCTTCGGGGCAGCGCAGCCCACCTGCCCCGAGGCGTGCCCCGCGCCCGCCCCTTCCGACTTCTGGCCACGACGACGACGACGACGACGACGACGACGGCCGCCCATGACGACGACGACGACGACGACGACGACGACGACGACGACGACGACGACGGCGACGACGACGACGACGACGACGACGACGACGACGACGACGGCCGCCCATGACGACGACGACGACGACGACGACGACGACGACGGCGGCGACGACGACGACGACGACGACGACGACGACGACGACGACGACGACCACGACCCCGACCACGACGACGACCACGAGCCGTCCTCTGCTGGTGCCGCCCACCATCGGCGTGGCCACGCTGTCGGCCGGCGAGCCGCAGCCCTGCGCGCGGAACGACTGGGGCGAGTGCGTCTTGGAGCTGCTGCTCCTGCAGCAGGAGGGGGGCTGGCCGCGAGCACGAGGGGCCGGCCGCGAGCGAGCGGCCCTCCAAGCAGGCCGGGGGGGCCCTAGAAGGAGGAGGAGGAGGAGGAGGAGGAGGAGGAGGAGGAGGAGGAGGAGGAGGAGGGGGAGGAGGCCAGTCCACAAGAAACCCAACCCTGAGACGCCACAGGACGTCCATTGCTTTTCGGCGTTGGAACGCGACGCCTTCCACCGCAAAAACGGCGAAACCAAGAACCCAGGGCACCCTGGAGGCAAGCAGGGTGCTTCTTGGCATGGGCCTCCGCGGCGGTAGGCAGGGCCCGGGCCGGGGCTCTGGACGGAGCCCAAGGGGGGGGCACCGCCGAGCGAGGGAAGCCGGCGACAGCAGCAGCCGGGGCCTCTGGACGGAGCCCAGGGGGGGGGAGCGCCAGGGGCAGCGGGCCGCACGGAGGAGAGCGGCGGCTCCAGGGCAAGCTCCATCGGTCCAGTCCCCGCGGTGCGGGCGACCGCTAGTTTCGCCGACGGCTGGTTTCGCCCAGCTGGTTTCGCCGCCCGGCGAAACCAGCTCTGTCGGCGAAACTAGCTGCCGTCAGCGAAACCAGCTGCGGTTGGCGAAACCAGCTGCCGTCGGCGAAACTGCCCGACCCGACCCGACCCGCCCGATAGGGTCCGCCCGCCCGACCCGATCCGCCCGTTAGGGTTCGCGTGCTCGGTCGAGCGCGCCCCGCACTGGAATGTCCCGCCCGCCCGACCCGACACGCTCGTCAGGGTCCGCCCGCCCGACCCGACCCGACCCGCCCGCTAGGGTCCGCCCGCCCAACCCGACCCGCCCGTTAGGGTTCGCGCGTGCTCGGTCGAGCGCGCCCCACACTGTAATGTCCCAACCGCCCGACCCGACACGCCCGTTAGGGCCCGCCCGCCTGACCCGACCCGACCAGCCCGCCAGGGCCCGCCCGACCCGACCCGCCTGTTAGGGTTCGCGCGTGTTCGATCGAGCGCGCCCACATTTTAATGTCCCGCCCGCCCGACGCGACCCGCCCGTTAGGGCCCGCCCGCCTGACCCGACCTGACCAGCCCGCTAGGGTCCGCTCGCCCGACCCGACCCGCCCGTTAAGGTTCGCGCGTGCTCGGTCGAACGCGCCCCACTCCTTTTTTGCCCGCCCGCCCGACCCGACCCGCACGTTGGGGGTCCACCCGCCTGACCCGACCCGACCCGCCGCTAGGGTCCGCACGCCCGACCGGACCCGCCCGTTAGGGTTCGCGCGTGCTCGCTCGAGCGCGCCCCACGCTTTAATGTCCCGCCCGCCCGCCCGACCCGACCCGCCCATCAGGATTCCTCCTCCCGGCCCGACGCGACCCGCCCGCTAACGTCCGCCCGCCCGACCCGACCCGCTCGTGGAGGTTCGCGCGTTCTCGGTCGAACGTGCCCCACACTATAATTTCCCGCCCGCCAGACCCGACCCGCCCGTTGGGGTCCGCCGACCCGGCCCGACCCGACGCGCCCGCTAATGTTCGCCCGCCCGACCCGTCCCGCCCGCCAGGGCTCGCGCGTGCTCGCTCGAGCGCGCCCCGCACTTTAATGGCCCGCCCGCCCGATCCGACCCGCCCGTTAAGGTTCGCCCGCCCGACCCGACCCGCCCCGCCCGCTAATGTCCGCCCGCCCGACCCGACCCGCACGTTAGGGTTCGCGCGTGCTCGGTCGAACGCGCCCCACTCCTTTTTTGCCCGCCCGCCCGACGCAACCCGCCCGTTGGGGTCCACCCGCCTGACCCGACCCGACCCGCCCGCTAAGGTCCGCCCGCCCGACCCGACCCGCTCGGCCGTCAGGGCTCGCGTCGGCGAAACCAGCGCCGGAGAAACCAGCGCCAGCGAAACCAGCCGCCGGCGAAACCAGCCGCCTGCGAAACCAGCGGGGCGAAACCAGCGCGGCGAAACCAGCCGTCGGCGAAACCAGCGGGGCGAAACCAGCGTCGCGGCGAAACCAGCGCCGCGGCGAAACCAGCGCCGGTGAAACCAGCTCATGCCGCGGTGTGAAGCTCTCGTTTGGGCTTTTCCCGAGACGTCAGCAAAACTGGATGACCTCACAAAAAAACGCATGATTTCTGGGCATTGGATAAGGAACCATTGGATAAGGAACCCAGGGTCTGGAAGTCGGTGGAGCAAAGGTTGAGGTCTGACCATGGAACTCACCGCGGCCCTCATGAGATAAAGAATCCTCCAAGGTCTGACGCCTCCTGGGCACAGTCCTTAACGAACGCCCCCACCGCAGCTGGGCCGAACTGTACTCTTCCGCTTGCGGTGGGGGGGGAGGGTTCGCGAGGAGAGGGCAAGCTTTTTTTCTTCTGTCAGCAGGCGGCGCGCCTGGGGAGCGCGCCCTCTTCGTCAGCCCGAAGCGCCGTGCCCGACTTCTCCGACCTTGTCGCTTTCACAGGCGAGCGACGAACGGGAAGGGGGCTCTGACGCAATACGGTGCATGAGGAAACCGGAAGGTACCCATACCGCTACTCCCTGGACCTCCTCTCCTGGGGTGCCTCCTGACCAGGATTTCGGGGCGAACCCAGCGGTGGCGACGAGGGCCTCCCAGGGGGCACAAGAAGGGGAAAACGAGGCGATGGCAGCGGTACGGGTACCTCTTCCTCCTCTGAGTGCAGCGGTACAGCGAGGCGGCCTGACGCGGTGGCCTGTGCAGCCCACGTTGGATGCTCATTCTGGAGACCTTCCTGGAGACATTCGCCCCACTCGTGCGTCGAAGCTGCGTCGAACGTCCGTCGATTTGAGTCGACCCTGAGTCGACCCCGAGTCGAACAAGAATCGAACCTGGGTCGAACTTGAGTCGAACGGAGGTCGAACTAGAGTCGAATAGATCCGTTAGGTGGGCCCCAGGAAGGTCCCCCAAACGAGCATCTACCCCACGAGTGCGGCACGCCACGAAGAGAGGGCGGTTGCGAGCGTCTCCACGCGCGCGCGGGCGGCCCCGCGCCACCGACGCGCCGTCTCTGTTGCATCGCCCGGGTGGCATAGCAGTCGGCGTGCTGACAGGAAGGAGGATGAGGAGGAGGAGGAGGAGGAGGAGGAGGAGGAGGAGGAGGAGGAGAGAGGAGGAGGGAGGAGTAGGAGTAGGAGGAAGAGGAGGAGGAGGAGGAGGAGGAGGAGGAGGAGGAGGAGGAGGAGGAGGAGGAGGTGGAGGAGGAGGAGGGGGGAGGAGGAGGAGGAGGAGGAGGAGGAGGCGGAGGAGGAGGAGGGAGGAGGAGGAGGAGGGGAGGAGGAGGGAAGGAGGAGGAGGAGGAGGGAGGAGGGAGGAAGGGGGAGGAGGAGGAGGAGGAGGAGGAGGAGGAGGAGGAGGAGGAGGCGGAGGGAGGAGGGAGGAGGAGGAGGAGGAGGAGGCGGAGGAGGGGAGGAGGAGGAGGAGGAGGAGAGGAGGAGGAGGAAGGAGGAGGAGGGAAAGGAGGAGGAGGAGGAAAAGGAGGAGGAGGAGGAGGAGGAGGAGGAGGAGGAGGTGGAGCAGCAGGAGGAGGAGGAGAACGAGGAGGAGGAGGAGGAGGAGGAGGAGGAGGAGGAGGATTTGTTTTTTTTTACTCCGCACCGTGCCCATGAGGTGACACCTGGGAGAGGCCAGATTATTCTGACACAAAAAACGGACCAAGGCGGTGGCTGACGCGAACGACTGACACCCCAAGGACCGAAAGTCAGTCGGAATCATCAGACTCCGCAGACCTAACGCGAGCAACCCTAGTCAGAAGGTGGGCATCATCCTCCTCTTGGAGGAGTCGCTGCCTGACTGACCCCAGCTGCTCAGTGGGGCGACTCTCCAACGCATTGGCAAGAGAGGGCCTGGAGGACGAGGAGGAGGAGGAGGAGGAGGAGGAGGAGGAGGAGGAGACGAGGAGCGCAGCCCGAGGCACGAAGGGGGGGCTTTTCTGGCCACGGCGAGCCTCGGCCACGACCGGGCTCCGCGGCACGAGCGCAGGGAGCGGCCCGAGAGCCCGAGCCGCTCCCGAGCCCCAAAGCGGTCCTCATTTCAGCGTCTCTGCCGTATGAGGAGGAGGAGGAGGAGGACGACGAGGAGGAGGAGGAGGAGGAGAAGGATGAGGGGGTGGAGGATGAGGAGGAGGAGGGAAAGGAAAAGGAAAAGGAGGAGGAGGAGGACGAGGAGGAGGACGAGGACGAGGAGGAGGACGAGGACGAGAAGGAGAAGGAGGGCTGTGATGCTCTGGCGGAAGGAGACGGGAGCAGCGAGAAGTCGACGGGGAAGTGAATACGAGGCGACGACCACAGCTGCGAATAGCGTCGCCTTCGTCGGGCTGCTTGGCCAAGAACGTGTGGGGGAATCACAGATAGGACTGCCACCCATCGCATACCTCGACTGCGACGGCATGAACGCCGACAGCAAACGATGACTCGTCGTCATCGTAATCGAGGCAGGGGGAGCATAGGAAGACACCGACAGGCTGGAGCAGGAGGACGACGAGCAAGTGCCAAACTATCTCAACTCGGGCCAGCGGGCTCCCACTGGTGTTGCAGATGGGGTCGTAGGAGACTTGCCTCGGCACCTGGGAAGCGAACGCGGGAGACGTGCGGAGGACGAGAAGCGAGGCGGAGGATGTTCAAGTTAACGGAGAGGAGAAAGAGAAGATGAGCAGGGACGGAGAGAGGGAGGGAAGACGTAATAAGGAAGAGAGGGAGGTGGTAGTGAAAGGCTGCGGCCGAGAAAGACCATGGTTGTGCGAGAATTGGGCGAGACACAAAACCGATGATACAAGCGCGTGGGCCGCAAACAATTCAAGGAGAATTCAGATAGCACTCGAGGCTGGGACCCACTGGGCAACATTCCACGAACGCCCCTGAGTTTCATGGACTGCCGGCAACTGGACGCCACTCGAAACTTCACAACTGAGCCTCAAATCCCGCGAGACGCCAATGCAATTGACTCGAACCTGCTCGGCCGGTATCTAACACTGCGACGCGACGGTCCCACACGGGAAGCAAGAGGAGTCGACGGAGGAGATGGGAGAGGAAGAGGGAGGAGGAGGACGAGGAAAAGGAAAGGCGAATTGGGAGTGAGGGTGAAGAACAAGAAGAAGATAGTGAGGAGGAGGAGGAGGAGGAGGAGAAGGATGAAAAACTAAAATCAGCAGGAAAGGGAGGAGGTTGAGGGATGAGAAGGCAGGAGGACGAGAAGGGGAATTAAACAACGGAGGGTCAGGGATGAGCAGGAGGTAAGAGAGGGGAGAGGATGGAGGGGACCGCGGAACAGCAAAGAAGGCAGAGCACGATGACGATCAGAACGACGAAAGACCAGAAAGACGATGAGCAATAAGCACCCACACACATTCCACCTGCCCCCCCCCCAAAAAAAACACCACTGCAAGCCACCCACTTCGCCAGAAGACCATCACCACTGCCTAAGACCGCACACACACACACACACACACCATCATCACCAACTCGATCGCAAGCACACCTGCCGTACCATGCACGCCTCCTCCTCCTCCTCCTCCTCCTCCTCCTCATCCTCCGCCTCCTGGTCAACCTCCTCCTTTTCCTTTTCCTCCTCCTCCTTTTCCTCCTCCTCCTCCTCCTCCTCCTCCTCCTCCTGGTCAACCTCCTCCTCCTCCTCCACCTCCACCTCCTCCTCCTCCTCCTCCTCCTCCTCCTCCTCCTCCTTCTCCTCCTGGTCAACCTCCTCCTCCGATCCCGGGGCCCCAAGGCCCGAGCGGCTGGCGCCCGGCGCGCGGCGACGGGATCGGCCGGCGGCCCGCTGAGGGCCGCGCGCGGGCGCGCTCGCGGGGGCCTCCATCCGCCACCTAGCGCTCGGGCGGGCGCGGGGGGGGAGAGGGGGTTTGCCCAGGAGGAGGAGGAGGAGGAGGAGGAGGAGGAGCAGGAGGAGGAGGAGGAGGAGGAGGAGGAGAGAGACAGGAGTATGACGCAGAGGGTGATGATGATAATAATGATGATGGTGCTGATGAAAGGTCATGATGGTGATGGTGATGATGACGACGATGACGGTGATGGTGATCTTGCAAATCTCCTGGAAGCGGCGAGTCGCACAGCACATTGAACAATCACGGAACGGATAGCCGTTCAAGGCAGCCTGCGCGCCCAGCCGCGCGCCCGCTTCTGCAATCTGCGCCGCGTCCAGCATCAGCTTGGCCAGGCTCGCGGTGGCGGACACTCTGGTCGGGACTTGCCGCGCGAAGTCCATGCCGCGGCGGCCGCGCGCCTTGCCAGGGAGGGCAGCGGCGCGCCGCACAGCGGTGGCGACGTCCGCCGCGCAGCGCTGCACAACAAGGCTGGGCTGGCTCTCGGTCTCGCCCGCGAAGGCGACGACCGCGCCGTCGTACTGTTTTTTCTTGTGCCTCTCCGCGTCGAAGGGCGCATGGCGGGGGGGTCGCGCACCTGGCCCCAACTCGCCAGGCGAGCGAACGGTGACGTCCACCCACGTCAGCGTGAGCAGGCCTGGCCAGCTCACCGCGGGGTCGAAACACACCTCGGCGATCTCGCCACCAGCCTCCCGACGCAACTCCAGCACGCAGCGCTCCGCGCTTGCGAACCCGCCGCGGGCGGATACCCATTCCACGAGAAAGCCCGCGCGACCTAGTCCTGCAGGCGGACGCGGCGCGGCCCCGCCAGGCAGCGTAGCGCGTGGAGCCCCGCGACATCAAGGGACCTGCCGCGCGCCCTGTCGCCCCTCGCCCTTCGCCGCCGCCGCTGCCAGAATGCTGGAAGGCGCGCGCAGCGGGGGCCCCCGGCAAGTCCAGCAGGAGACGGCGCCAAAACATTACCGCGAGAGGCGCGCCGTAGAGAGCGCCAATCCACTCCAAAGAGCGCCGGCGACAGGCCCGCGGCCGGACTGCCGTCGCGCCCAGCGCGCAGCGGGCAAGCGGAGTCATAAACGAGCGGCCGCGAAGGCTCCTGGCCCCAGCGCGCCCGCGCGGCGAGACGGCGCTGGCCGGCCCAAATGCCCTCGTAGTCCTGACACGCGCGCAGGAACGGCGCATAGCTTCCCAGGACGTCGTCGGCCTCATCGCGAAAATTGAACACTGCTTCGGTCTGGGGCCCAACCGCCCAAGGGCCAGGTCGCGCGCCGCACCCCCAATCCCGCTGGTCGGAGCGGGCCGCGACGGGGTCGAGTTCGACCCTAGCCGTGGCAGGAGCCACGTCGGCCTCGGGGTCGAAGCTGGAATGCGTCTGGGCCCGACAAGGCTGCGAGACAGCATCGGCGCGAGACCTTAGGCGGTCGCCAGTCCGCTCGGAACGTCGCACCGCGACGACGGGCGCGGCGCTCGCCCGAGGCTTCGCGCGGCGGCCAGCCGAACTGACAGAGCGCGGGCACCCCCCTGCGTGCCCAGCGCGAACGCCCAGGGCCGCCAGGCCCCAAGGACGCCGCGGGCGCCCTCGCCGAACGAGGCCCGCCCCGCCGCGCAGCCGAGCGAGCGCGGCGCCGCCGCCCAACCTGGGCGGCGAGCGCGACCCCATCGCGCGCTCGCCCGTGCGAGCAGGACGGCCTGCGCGGCGCCTCGCGCAGGCTCGCGTCGCCAAGCGCCGCTGCGCCGCGCGCGGCGACCCTCTCCCGTTCGCCCAAGCGGGAGGGCTGGGATGGGGGAGGGGGGCGCTCGCCCCGCGGTTCTGCGCCCGAGAAGCGTTGCCGCGCCTTGCGCGCGCGCGGCATGACCTTGAGCGGTCGCCAATTTGCTCGGCGCGTCGCATCGCGGCGACGGGCGCCGCGCTCGACCGAGGCTTCGCGAGGCGGCCCCCCGAGCTGACAGAACGCGCGGGCGCCCGCCTGCGCGCCCAGCCAGGCCAAGCGCGCATCGAGAACATTCGCTGTCACGAAGCCCAGCCTCGCGCGCCCGCTGCCGCGCGTGCAAGCGCAGATCCGCCAGCGCACGCGCTGCTGGACCGCCCGCGCGCGCCCCCTGCGCCGCCGGCGCGCCGCGCCGCCTGGAGGCTCGGCACCCGGCGCGCGCCGTCGCCAATGGCGCGAGCCATTTCGGCGGCAGTCGCCGACGCCGCAAAAGCGATCGTCCTAGGGATGAACGCTAATTCGGCGGTTCCTGCGCCTGGCGGCCCCGCAATGCCGCGCGCTCCCGCGCCAGCGGTGACCGCTGCTACTTCCGCGCTTGAACCGGGGCGGCCCCCTGGGGCTGAAGTCAGTTCGCCTGACTCGCCATTCACCTCTACCACGTGCAACTCGCACCCAGGCGCCTCGCAGTGCCCAACATGCTGACGCGTCAGGGACTGGCGCCCTTCGATTTAATTTCGTGCGCAATTTACTTTTGTAGATGCGGGGATCTCCATGGCAGGCGGGCCCCAATTGGCTGCGAATACATCGCGACGCCGTGGGCCCATCTCAGCGCGCGGCTGGCCGAGGCCATGCGTCGGCGTTTCGACAGTCTTGTGGGGCTGAAATTCCATCGTCTTGCATAGGAAAAGACAGGGCCCCGCCCGGTGGGACATCTCAATCCACGCGGTTCCACGTCGGGATTTGAAAATGCACCGCTTCAGACATATATCATGATATCGATATAAAGGATGTCATTTGAAATTCTGAAATCCCCGATCTCTGGCCCCATCAATCGCGACCCAGCCGTCTGCGACTCTTGAGCGTGGCTTAATGGGGGGTCATAAACGGGGGGGTCAGAAAAGGTCCCCTTTCGTGCCCCTTTCGGGCCCCTCCAGAGCCCCAGGGGGATCGTTTAGGTACCGTTTGGGTACCTTGTCGGACCACCCTCGCCACCCCCCCCCATTTATGACCCCCCCATTACGCGGCGCCCAAAACTCGAAGGGAAAAGGGGCGCCGGCCGCGGCGGCGTCGGGGCAGGGGCCGTCCGCAGACCGCTCACGGCAGTAACTGACACAGCTCATATCAGATTGACGCACTCATCAAAAGTCGCGGACCTGTGCGACGGCGTAGCGGGATTTTAAGCATCGCGCCGCGAGCGTCGAGGCCTCGCCACGCAGGCGGGGCGGGCGAAACCTTATTTCCAGCGCGGCGGCCGACAATCGACTTGGCGAGACGAGGCCATCGCAGCGCATCCCTTGCTGCCATTGCCTGGGCTGCAACTGCCTGAATTGCCTGGACTTGCCTGACTGTCGCGTCGGTAAAATCAAAAACGGAACGCAGCGGGCACGCGCGCTGCCGCACTGGGCGCCAACGGAATCAGCATGGACCCTCTGTATGAATTTTCGCTTTTAAGCAATCGGCTGTCTCAAACCAAGAACGGATTTCACTCCGATCAATATGCCCTGAAAAATTAGCGCGGGAAGCATGCTCGAGCGGGGCAGTTTATACTCCTCCCACTCCGCCCACTACGGCAGTCGCCAATTATCTTGCGCGCAGACAACGTTGCACTGTTGACGCGGCGACGGGGAAACGCACGCCCGATCTCGTTTCTCACGTGCTCACCCAGCCCAGGGCTCTGGCGACGCGAGCAATGCGACGACAGGAAACGATAGCGATGATAGCGCGTCGCCATCGCGGCTGGACCCTCCGCCGGCGCTCCGAAACTCTCGCGATAATGAAAAGAAATCGTCTTGCACTGGCAGGGGCCGGATCCCGTTTTGCGGGCTCTCTAGGTCCACGTTATTTTACGTCGGGGCACACCTCATTCGCGCTCTCGGTGAACTTGGCCGCGATGCAACCTTTCTGCCCGCACTTGCAGCGTTCCCGCTCGCCGATGGTGGCGCATGCCCTGCCGCTGGGTTTCCTGCTGGGTTGGCCCGGTGACTTCCCAGAGCCGTTGGATCCCCCAGTCGCGTCCTTTGCATTATCCTTTTGGGCCAGTTCGAACTCCCTTCGCCTTTGCCGCTATTATTGCTGGTGCCTTTGGCCTTGCACTTGGCCAAATGGCTGGCCCTGCCATGCAAGCGAGCCATTTTGCTTTTCCCTTTCAGTTTGCTGACTGCGTCTCCGTCTGCGCTGCCCCCGCCCTGTTCTTCATTCCACCCCTGGTTCTCGTTTTCGTCCGCTGGCCGCCGCTTTCCCTGGTCATGGCATTACCCTTGGCAACCCCCTGGGTGCGCATTTAAGTTTTTCCATCTTTGCCAACTCCCCCAGCGCCGTTCTTTCGAATGGCAGCGGCATGTCGTAAGATTTACCATACTTTTCCGATTGCTCGACCAATGCACTTCACTGTTCAAATTGGACTGATGCGTCACTCGCTCTGTTGGGCTCCTCGGGATTCCTGGCCGAGAATGCCCCGGCTACCCAGGTTGCGGTGGAAGACCCTTTGTATATTTTCATGTAGCTGGTGAGCCCTTCACCATCGTGGAGCCCATGAAGCTTACCATGTGCCTCGGCGCTTTCCAATTTCGCTGTGAAAGAAAGCCATGAGTCCTCTTCAAGTTTGCTGGTCGCTTTCTTTTCTGGCACATCCACTTTTTCCTGTAAGTCCTGCTCTACTTGTCTCGCCCGGAAGGTGTGTTGTACTCCGCTGCTGTCATTATGCCATTAAGAACATTACGCGGTCTTTTTCCCCAGCTGGATCTGGCACTGCTCCACCCCAGCTTTTTGAATGTTTTGCGGTTCCCGTTGTTGACCTTTGCTGCTCACGCGATGAGCAACTGCTCACTATATTGGCGGAATTTCGATCTTCATTGAATCCGCTAAATGACTGGATCGTTCTGGGCTCGCTGATTGGCCTCTGCTGAAGCTCATGTCTGTTCTGTCCCATATTGTCAACTATCTGCCATATGTGCTCAGCTGTTCCACGACGGATCTGTCCAACTCTGCCACTCGAGCCCTTACGGTTGCGGTTTCTGCTTCGGGCAGGCTCTCACGGTTGATGATGCTCAACAACGCCGCGCAAGATTTCTCGAACATATTTATCATTGGCATCGCATGTTCATTGGATTCGCTTTGGTTGCCAGAACATTCCGGTTCTCCCAGGTAGTTTGCCGTCGCACCACAATTGGCTTGGAGGGCGTTTTGGACGAATCCGTAACCGCCCTGGCTATTGGGTGCCAAGCAACTTCTCCAACATAGACGATACGGCTTTCGATCCATTATTGCTGGGTTGTGGGTGTGATCATTCCGGGCTTCGCTGCCATAAACGCGCTCATCTACCATGCAAGCTGAGCAAAACGGTGGCAATAAGGACGGGTTATTCCTTTTGCTGAATGTAGAGGTGGATGGAACGCACAGACCGTGCCGCGATGTAACGGCTTAAACTTTGAGCCAAACGCCAGCGGTTGCACAGCAACTGGGTGCCAACATCCAAGCACCTTGTCTCTCTCCTCCTCGTCCTCCTCGTCCTCCTCGTCGTCGTCCGCCTCCTCCTCCTCATTATCATCATTATCATCATCATCATCATCAACCTCCTCCTCCTCCTCCTCTTCCCTCCTTTCCCTTCTCAATCCTCGTTCTCGTCGTCGTCGTCCTCCTCCTCTTTCCTCTCCTCCTCCACCGAAAGGACCCTAAGGTTCCGTTCCGATGGCCGAACCGACAGGAGCCGCCAAAAGGGGGGGAACATCCTTGAAGGCATAATTCCATTCGGTCTGGAGCTGTGGGATCCCCTGGACAACCGACCGCCGCGAAGAACCCGCCTGGAAATTCAGTTCAGAGTTTTCTTGTTGTTCGGCACCCGCAATCTCGAGCCCGATCCTTACGCTTCATCTTGAAAACCAGGATGTGGTGAAACGAGGCCACGCCTTCGCGAATCACCTGGGTGCGGCTGAGCAGGTTAAGGAGGGGGAGGAGGAGGAGGAGGAGGAGGAGGAGGAGGAGGAGGAGGAGGAGGAGGAGGAGGAGGAGGAGGAGGGAGGGGGAGAGGCGAGGAGGAGGAGGAGGAGGAAGACGAGGAAGAGGAGGAGGAGGAGGAGCACCAACAGCAGCAGCAGCAGGAAGTGGAGGAGGGAGTGGAGAAGATAGGGAGGGGATAAACCCACGGTGTATCGACGAGGATGCAAGACACCCTCCCGTCCCAGGCCCCTCCACCCCGGCTCCTGCACCGTTCCTGCCTCCCCCTGCGCAATGGGGGGGCCCACCGTCCGCTGTTTTGCAGGGCGAGCGCCCCTAGAAGGGCCCGCCGCTCGGGCGGCAGATCTCCCGCCTCGGAAGGAGACCACCCCGTCCGCCCTTCCGGTTGGAGGGTGAAGGTGGGGGTCGGGCGCACGGTCCCGGCAATGATGTCTTTATGGGCCATGAGTGGGCGATACATCCTCGATTGCTGTGTTCGGCGGGGGAACCAATTGAAGCTCCCCGCCTGCACCCATGCGCGAGACTTGAACGGAATGGAAGCAAGGGGCGGGGGGCGCGGGAAAGGCGACGAAGGCAAGGTGCGCTGAGGGCGCAAAAAAAAAGGTTGGAACAAACGAAAGCGGTCAGGTGAGTGCCGAAATCTGCCCACCCAGTCTGCCATGCGGAACACTGCGCCTCAGTTTGGGGGACTTTGAAGGCCAGGGCAAAATGTGATTCACATTGTGGGGACAAGCAAAATGTGAATTCACATTTTGGGAAAAAGGAAAACATGAATTCACATGTTGGGAAAAACGAAGATGTGAATTTACATATTGGAACTTGGCATAGGAATATGTATAAAAGGGGCCAGAAAGTGAATCCATATTTTGGGAAAAAGGAAATATGAATTCACATGTTCGAAAAAAGACAATGTGAATTCACATTTTGGGAGAAACGCGGGACCTATTCCAAACCTGTCTTGGGGGTCAATGAGTCATCGTTTGAAAACATACGCGATCAAGAATCGCACAATCAAGACACACTTGCACTCCACTTCGCCGCCCCACGCGCAATATGCAAGAACGCCCGCCGGCATGAACGATAATGGATGGACGGCGCGTGTGCCCGCGCCGGCAACGCGCGGGCACGAACGACTGGCCCTCAATGACCGCCAAAATTGGATGCCAATCGTACCCGATCGCGTACATGAGCGATACATTGAGCATACATGGGCCATTCAGCCCCCATTGAAGACCCCCTGTTGCAGACCCCCTCTTTCACCCTCCAATCCGAGCTGCACGATGTGCGGCAAGGTGGCCGGCCTCCTGGGCCCTGCCGTCGCTCGGGCGTCGTCTCGTTTCGTGGCGGTCGGCTTCGGCGACGTGTCTCGCGGCCGTGCTCTGGCCTCTGTGCTCTTTCGACGTGCGTGCGCGCAGCCCGCAGAAGCCTGCCTCTTAGCAGGCCGCTCTTGCAGAAAGGGGGTCCGCGATGCGCTCGCGCAGGAGAGGGGAACAGAAGAAAAGAGCGATGCACTCGCGCGGACGTGCATTCCCCGTGCACTCCTCGGCTCCGTGCGCGCTTTGCTTTCACAGGTGATCCGAGATGCTCCTCGCCGTCGCTCGGACGTCCATTCCCCGTGCGCTGTTCGGCTCTGTGCGTGCTCTGCTTTCGCAGGCGATCCGAGACGCTCCTCTCTCAGAAGCTGGGCGAAGGCTGGCAAACCCGTGGCTGCTAAAACGGAGCTCCGGGAATTTGTCTTTGTTTTCTTCCGGGGAGCAGCCCGTTTACTACATATATAGTGTGCTGAGATTTGTTCCGGGAACTTGATGACCTTTTTCTTCTGGGAAGACCGTTTTAGCAGCCACGGATTTGCCAGCCCTCGCCCAGCTTCCGACTCTCGACGCTCCGCGCCGAAGAACATTAAGGCAGGCACACGCCCGAGCGGTGCCAAGCTTTGACATCTCTCGGGGAGGGGCTGCACTTTCTTTGCGCCCGCCGGCCGCCCGCCGTGGGCGCCAGTCCATCGTTCGCTTCCGCGGGCCCTCCACCCTGGAGGCCTCCTGGATGAGGTCGTAGGATCGCGCCGCCTCGCCGATGCATCGCCGATGCGTCGGCGATGCAGCCGCGACGTCGGCGGTGCATCGGCGACGCCGGCGCAGAGAAAATCGGGACCCACATCGAGCCGCATCGGCGATGCAGCGCGGCGATGCGGCGCGATCCTCCGACCCCGCATGCTCGGGCCCCCTCTACGGCTGGTTCGCGTCGCGAGGTGGCGGGCGTAGGTCTCTGACGCCGCGTCGACCGTTCCGCCCTGAACGGTTCGTGGCTCTCCGATCTGGCGCAGACCTCCCGACCTCGGCCGCTTCTGATCCACCGGCGGCGTCGCACCTCGCACGCCCACGCTGGGGCCGCCGCCGCGCCCACGCAGCGCAGCCCGCCCTCAGCCAGGGACGAGGTGCCAGCCCCCCGAGCCCCCTCGAGGGCGCACATCGAGCCGCAGCGGCGATGATCGGCGGCGAGCCCGGGGGTGAGCGAGGAGGGGAGGGCCTTCGCAGAAGGCTCGGAAGTCCCCCGGGCCGTCTGAGAAGTCTCTGAGGCCTGCCCCGAAGGCACAGCAAACTCCTCAGAAGGCGCGAGGGCTTTTGAAAAGTCCCGCCGCCTTCTGAGAAGGCCTTCTCCTTCCGACTTCCCCCCCATCGCTCGCCGCCGAGATGCATCGGCCACGCGGCGCGATCCTCCGACCCCACCCGCTCGGACCCCGCCAAGAGGCCAAATGAGGGCGAAGCCTCTCGAGGGCGAGCCTCCGAAACCTCCGAAACTTCCCCCGGTGCGGCTTTCCAACGGACTTTGGCCCTCGTTTTGGATAGAGCGCTGCTGGCTCCGACCTTCCCTCCTTCCTCGTCTCCTCCTCCTCCTCCTCCTCCTCCTCCTCTTTCTCCTCCTCCTTCGTCTCCTCCTTCGTCTCCTCCGTCGTCTCCTCCTTCGTCTCTTCCTCCACCTCCTCCTCCTCCTCCTCCTCCTCCTCCTCCTCCTCCTCCTCCTCCTCCTCCTCCTCCTCCTCCTCCTGTTCCTCCTCCTGTTCCTCCTCCCGTTCCTCCTCCTTCTCCTCCTCCTGTTCCTCCTCCTCCTCCTCCTCCTGCTCCTCCTGTTCCTGTTCCTGTTCCTGTTCCTGTTCCTGTTCCTGTTCCTGTTCCTGTTCCTGTTCCTGTTCCTGTTCCTCCTCCTCCTCCTCCACTCGAGGGCGAGCCCCCGAAGCATCCGAGAGACCTCCCGAGGCCTCCCGCCGCCCGAAGCTCCCGGCGGGACGCCCCCGCGCAGAACCCGTGGCGGCGATCGCGACGCGTCGGCGCGCTGACCCCTGAGGGGCAACGACAGGGGGGGACTGGCTGCACGGTTTCCCCTGGGGCCGTAGGCGACCCGAGGAGGAGGAGGAGGTGGAGGAGGAGGAGGAGGTGGTGGTGGAGGAGGAGGAGGAGGAGGAGGTGGAGATGGAGGGAGAGAAGGTGGAGGAGGAGGAGGAGGAGGAGGAGGAGGAGGAGGAGAGGAGGGAAGGAGGAGGAGGTGGAGGAGGAGGAGGAGGGGAGGAACAGGAGGAGGAGGAGGAGGAGGAGGAGGAGGAGGAGGAGGAGGAGGATGTGGTGGAGGACGGGTCGCCTAAGCCCTTCGGAGAAACCCTCCAGGGGACTGGCACAGGGGGGAATGCATCGACCTGGAATCGGCGATACATCGCCGATAGGGTCGGCGATAGGCTCTCGGTAGCGAGTCCGCGCCTTCCCGGGCGGGGTGGGGCCATCGGGCCCTTCTCGGCGATGAATGGGCGCTTGGGGGTCCATATCCTCCCCCCCCCCCCCTCTGCGCCTATATCCTCCCCCTGCTGCTGCCCCCGAGCCCCCCCCTCGGCGCAGGGGGTGGCCCGCCCAGGGCGCGGCCACCGGCGCGGCGGCGCCCGGGAGGCCGTCGGCGTCCGGGGGGCTCCGGGAGGGGAAGGAGGGGACGGCCGGAGGGCGCTGGCTGCTGCCCAGACTGGCGATGTCCCAGCATGCTGTAGCTCCTTGACCACCAGGAGGAGGAGGAGGAGGAGGAGGAGGAGGAGGAGGAGGAGGAGGAGGAGGACGACGACGACGACGACGACGACGACGACACGTGCTTTTGGACTACCAGGACCCAGACCTCCTCGAATTGTGAAAAAATCACGACGGGAGGATTTTCGCTATTGTCGGCCTCTCGTGGCCCTTGCCCTGGGACCGTCAAAAAACGACTCGGGACGAAAAAAGCACTCCCGTGGAAGGGGTCCAAATCTCGAGGGGTCGACGTCATGAAGAAATCGTGGCGTCGAGGGATCTGAGTTTAGCCCTTTGACTACCAGGAGGCCGGAAACACACGTGGCCGGGTTCGCATGCGGAACACCTGCAGGCCGCGCGCGGGATCCCTGAGATCCTCGCGTTGCAATTTTTGCACAACGGGCGTTTTCGCTCGGTTTCGGGCCCCAAGACCCTCACAGATCGATCCGGCTTGAAAAATGACGCAGAAGGATGGGGCCCGTGTTTTTTTTGCGATGTCGCAATGCTTGGCAACGTCGGATCTCATGGATTCCCACGTGAAAGCCAGGCCTGCACGGCCAGAGAAGGTCCGAGCGCTGGCAAGACATGTGACCACACGTGTATCCAGCTCTTGCCGAGGCTGGCCGCGTCATATGTATCCAGCTTCCTGGTACGCCAGAAAAATATCGAGCACCAAGACACTGCTTCACCCCCCCTGTAGGTCCCCCCCGTTAAACACCCGTCCGATACATCCAGGAGCCCAGTCGTCTTGACCGCACCAGCCAAAACATCGAGCACCAAGGCGCTGCGTCAATACCGTGTCGGGCAGACACTGCTTCACCCCCCCTGTAGGTAACCCCCCGTTTAACACCCGTCCGATACATCCAGGAGCCCATTCGTCTTGACGGCACCAGAAAGAATGTCGAGCACCAAGGCGCTGTTTCGATACTGTCGGGCAGACACTGATTCACCCCCCCTGTATGTCCCCTCCCCCCGTCAAACACCTGCCCGATACATCCAGGAGTCCAGTCGTCTTGACTGCAGCAGCAAGAACGTCGAGCACCAAGGCGCTGTTTCGATACCGTGTCGGGCAAACACTGCTTCACCCCCCCTGCAGGTCCCCCCCCGGTTTAAAACCCGGCCGATACATCCAGGAGCCCAGTCGTCTTGACTGCAGCAGCAAGAACGTCGAGCACCAAGGCGCTGTTTCGATACCGTGTCGGGCAAACACTGCTTCACCCCCCCTGCAGGTCCCCCCCGGTTTAAACCCGGCCGATACATCCAGGAGCCCAGTCGTCTTGACCGCACCAGCAAGAACGTCAAGCACCAAGACGCTGCTTCGATACTGTGTCGGGCAGACACTGCTTCACCCCCCCCCTGTAGGTCCCCCCCCATTTAACACCCGCCCGATACATCCAGGAGCCCAGTCGTCTTGACTGCACCAGAAAGAACGTCGAACACCAATACGCTGTTTCGATACCGTGCCGGGCAGACACTGCTTCACCCCCCACGTAGGTCCCCCCTCTGTTTCAGACCCGCCGATACATCCAGGAGCCCAGTCGTCTTGACCGCACCAGCAAGAACGTCGAGCACCAATACGCTGTTTCGATACTGTGTCGGGCAGATGACACTGCTTCACCCCCACTGTAGGCCCCCCTCATTAACACCCGCCCGATACATCCAGGAGCCCAATCGCATTGACTGCACCAGACAGGACGTCGAGCACCAAGACGCTGCTTCGATACGTGTCGGGCAGACACTGCTTCACCCCCCCCACTGTAGGTCCCCCCCATTAAACCCTGCCCGATACATCCATGAGACCACTCGTCTTGAATGCACCAATACGCTGTTTCGATACCGTGCCGGGCAGACACTGCTTCACCCCCCACGTAGGTCCCCCCCCGTTTAAAACCCGCCCGATACATCAGGAGCCCAGTCGTCCTGACTGCACCAGCAAGAACGTCGAGCACCAATGCGCTGTTTCGATACTGTGTCGGTCAGACACTGCTTCACTCCCCTGTAGCCTCCCCCCGTGTAACACCCGCCCGATACATCCAGGAGCCCAGTCGTCTTGACCGCACCAACAAGAACGTCGAGCACCAATACGCTGTTTCGATACCGTGTCGGGCAGACACTGCTTCACCTCCCTGCAAGTCCCCCCCGTTAAACACCCGTCCGATACATCCAGGAGCCCAGTCGTCTTGACTGCAGCAGCAAGAACGTCGAGCACGAAGACGCTGTTTCGATACCGTGTCGGGCAGACACTTCTCCATCCCCCCTGTAGGCCCCCTCCCGTTAAACACCCTATGTCTATCCCCCCCCCTATCGTTGCCCGTGATCAACACCCGCCCGATACATTCAGGAGCTCAATCGTCCTTCCCTCCCGGCGTGGCATTATGTTTCTCTTCCGCGACCTCGGCCTCTCCAGGGGCCCTACGCTCAGGTCGGGCAAGTCCTCCTGCAGGCGGATTTTGGGCGAAACATGAAAAATAGCCCAGGAAGACTCAAAAATGGTTAAGACATCGTCCCCAGACTATGTTTCCCTGTTTGGGAGTATTCCTCCTGCAGAGGGCAGGCCCGACTTAACCCCATGCTCGGGCCCCAGCACACCAGGAGGGGGGGGGGCCCGGGTTGAGGAGAGGCCCGGTGCCCCGAGGGGAAGGGGGGGGCCGGGCCGCGGGCGGCACAGAGCGCCTCGTCGGACGTTGCGGTGCGCCCGTCTGCGGGCAGGAGCTCGGATCCAGATCCGCTGCGTCTCGGGAGTTCTGGCTCCAGTCCCTGCGATGCCAGAGGCGCCGCGGACATGGGCAGAGCAGTGTCGCCCCTAGAGGTCAGATGTTTAGCCATGTCCGCTGCGCCGCGGCCTGTTGGCGCCCCTTCCCAGAAAGCCCAAGACACCATGGGTATGGACGGAGGAGGAGGAGGAGGAGGAGGAGGAGGAGGAGGAGGAGGAGGAGGGGGAGGGAGGAGGGAGGAGGCAGGAGGGAGGAGGGAGCAGGAAGGAGGGATATGAGTCGTGCCCGCGCCGTCGCGTCGCAGCACATGCGGCTGCCGGGAACACTTATAAGCAACACTCCCGCGTGACACGTGGTCTGACCTCCCGCCCCTTCCCCCCCCCCGAATGCAGTGCCGGTTTCGGACCCTCCGAGCCCGAGTGTCCGAGCGGCAGTGCGTATACACGTGCCAACTTGGAATACAGTCAATAAGTATAGTAAGGATGCGCGATAAGGATGCAAGGGCCTTGGACGCCCATTTCGAAGCTTTTCAAGCGGGGCGCGGCCAGCGAAAGCGGCGAAGGATGGACCGAGGAGGCAAGGATGCAAGGGTACCCATGGGAAGGTTGCCCATCCTCACAATGCGGGTTGACTGTAGCGGGGAGGGAAGGAATGTTGCTTATACTTTTTTCCCTCAACCGTAATGCTTGTGACGATCTTCCGCTTCAGGGGAGGGGCCTGACCAACCAAGCCCTGGGACGGCCAGAAAGCCACTCATCAAGATGAGCAGTCGGCCCCGGGAAGGGGTCGAAGCCTCCAAGGGTCCGCGCCTTCAACAGATCACGACGTCGGGGATCTGGGCAGCACCGATCCTGACCATGCCCTCCTGGGCCCAGGATCGGCCTGGCCAGGATCGGCGCAGGTGTGCAGCCGACGCCCTCTGGCATGGGCGGCGGCTGCCGGTTCGCGTGGATCTCGGACTCGAGGGCGTCGAGGAGGGGCACCAGGCGACCGAACCTGGCACGGGACGCGGGATGGGCGTCGTGAGCCGCCGGCTCAGGCGGGGGCTCCCCCACCACGCTCTTTAGGCCTCCTCCTCCTCGTCCTCGTCCTCCTCCTCATCCTCCTCCTCCTCCCTCCGCCTCCTCCTCCTCCTCCTCTTCCTCCTCTTCCTCCTCCTGCTCTTCCGTCCCTCCCTCCCTCCCTCCCCCCTCCCTCTCTCCTCTCCTCCCTCCCTCCGTCCTCCCTCCCTCTTCCCTCTCCCTCTCCTCTCCTCCCCCTCCTCCTCCTCCTCCTCCTCCTCCTCCTCCTCCTCCTCTTCCTCCTCCTCCTCCTCCTCCTCCTCCTCCTCTTCACTCCTCCCTCCATTCCTTATCCTTCTCAAGATAACTCTTCCCTGTCGCATCACTGGACGTGTCCGTAGGCTAGGCTGGGCGTTTCGCCTGTGATTTCCCCGCTAAATATGTTCCTCAAGCTTGAAATTCCCAACGATTTGTCTGTTGGAGTTCGGGTGTTTGAGTGCGGCTCTCGCCTTAGCGCCGCGCTTTCTCGTCTTAAAACGTTGCGGCGGTTTCAAGGATGGAGTTCGATTCGTTTTCAAATTGTAGCTCTCGCCTGAACGCCGCCCACATGATTTCAAACCTTGCAACAATTCCACGGGTGGGAACTGGTTCATTTTCAACATGTCGCTCTCGCCTAAACGCCACGCACATCCACACGACGCAACCCTTACCGTCTTACATAACAAACACGGCGCGCGTCCATCCGGTACAACCCTCACCATCCGATGCGACATAAATGCTTATGTTCACATCCATAAGGCCCGACCCTGATCCTCGACGTAAAAACAACTACGGTTCGGCACACATCCATACGACCAAATCCCCCACCATCTTATTACAAAACATTACGGCGCGCATCCATCCAACGCGGCCTCCATCATCCGATGCAGGTACTGTAATCCCGTGTGTGTACATCCATGCGACCCAAACCTTCATCCGATGAGAAAATCTGCCACCGCGCCTCTGGGCACCGAGTGGGCGTGTCCTCGGGTCCTCTGCCTCATCCTCTGCACGTCGTCGATCCTAATCCCTGAGGGGCCTCTGGAGGGCCCGGACGCCAATGTTCGAAATCTCCCATGGTTTCCCGCGTGCCCTCTGGGGCTTCCCGCGTGCCCCCCATGGCTCCGGGTGGTGTTCTCGCACGAGTCCTCGACGGGCCAAAAACTCCCCCAAGACGGTGCAAGAGGGCCCCGAGTCGCCGAACGATCGCTCCGAGCCTTTCGAGATGGCCCCCAAAAGACCCAAGAGGCCTCCAAGAGGCCTCCCAAGAGGGCCCCACGAGGCCACACTGACTGACTTTTTGGGGGGTTCTGAAATTTTGCTCGCGTTCTCTCCGTTTCGGGTTCCCGACGCTCCCACACGGCCCTAGGAAGCCTCAAAGGCCGCCCCCAACAGGCGTTCAAGAGGGCTACAGAACGGCCCAGGAGGGCCCCCAAACGGCCCAGAGGCGACCCAAACGGCCCAACACGGCTGCCCAAGGCGCCCAAGAGAGGGAATGCGAACCGAAAATCCGAGCCTTCCGCCCGAAAGGCCCCCAAGGGGCGCCCAGGAGGCCTCAAGAGGCCCCCCCCCCCAACCCCCACGAAACCCAAAACGGCCCAAGAGAGGGCCCAAAACGGCCTGCCTCCAAGAGGCCCCCACGAGACCCCAACGCACATTTAATGGACTTCGTGCCCACAGCCCAGGCGCGGTGGCGGGATGGGCTGAAGGCCAGTAGATACGATCCGCCCCCTGGCTCCGAATAGTTCCCGGACACAAAAGGCGGCCAAGCAGCAATAATCCGATAGCATTTACAAAATATATCAATACGTTTCGAGCACCCCTCGCCGATGTCGATTTTGGACCCAAGTGCCCCTCAGGCTACCCCAGGCGCATCAAGACGCCCCCAGGCGCTCCCAGGCGCTACACACCTTCCCCACGCGTTCCCAGGCTCGCCGTCGCCACCAGCAGCAACAGCATCCACATCCTCATCTTCATCGTCCTCGTCGCCTCAGGAAGCCTCAAAGAACAGACGATTTCAGATCGCGTTGACGCGTGGACACCATCATTTTGCACACGCACGCACATAGAACAAATAGAGCGCGGGTCATCTTCAACACAAGGCTTTCCCCCTGGCACCGTGCATACTCGGTTTCCTCGCTGTCCTTAGCTGCGCGAGTGGATGACGAGACCTTTCGGTGGGGGCATTGGACAAGGAGCCCTTAGATATGGAAGCCGGTGGAACTCCAATCGTGGATCGGCCATGGATATTACCGCCGCCCTCATACAAGGAATTCCTCCAGTGTATGCAGCCTCCTGGGCACATCCCTTGAAGAAAACGACCCCACCGTCCACCACCTACACTCACTTGACCCTTCCTCGACCTCTACGACCCGGCGCTCCACAACACCGATGGAGGGCGCCCCCTCTTTCGAAACGGGGCTCTCGCGCAAGACTTCCGCGAAGCATGCGTCCATGATTTTCGTATTACGTAACGCTTACACGCCGGTCGGAAGAAGTGGGTAGAAACATGAAGTAGGAAGGCGTTGGAAGTAGATTGGGTTTCCTCCCGTCCCCTGAAGAGGAGGGAAGAAGGAAACCAGTCGATCCTTGAAGTAGGAAGGCGCCAGAAATAGATTGGGATCTGGGGGTCCAAGAATACACTTTCAGCGACTGGCGTGTAAACGGATGGAGGGCGTGTCCTTTTCAAAATGAAGCTATCCCTGGGCCTCATTGAAAGGCTCTCGCGTGGGACTTCCGCGGTGCATACGTTCACGGCTTTGACATCCTGCAACGTTTACACGGATGGAAGGCATGTGCTTCTCAAAATGGGGCTATCCTGGGCGCCCTTCAACCAGGGAAATCCCTTACAACAGGCGCTCTCGGCTGACTGGCGAGCCGACCCGCCTCTCGTCTCTCCACGAGGGGGCACTGGACTTATGAAGAGGGGATTGGGACGGGATGGTGTAGTTCAGCATCGGTTGATGCATCCTGAGATCATTGCGGTCCTCCTCCTCCCCCTGCCTCGTGTTAGAAGGTCCCCCCTGGGCGCCCCAAAGGAGCAGCTGCGTCCCCGTTGTAAGAAGCGCCTCGGAACTCGAGTGCGTCGTGTGCGGCTGTGAGGCCAACGCTGGTCAAGAAGATGATGCCAAGATCGACGGTTTTGCTTCGCAGGCGCTGGCTGGTGCCGACGCCTCTCCCGAGCTCTGGAGGAATGCCGTCTGCGGGGCTCACCCACCAGACCGTTTCGGATTCGGGGGTTGCCAGCTGCACAGTGAGCGTGAACGGCGTTTCCCTTGTCGAGCGCTGTGCTCCTGATTCGTTCACGGCTGTTGTTGGGTTGTTGGTAATGGTTCTGGAGGCCGTTCCTCGTCCAATCCCCGTCGTCGCAGGTGCGGCTCTGGCGCAGTAGTCCTTTCCCAAGGTGCTCAGGGCAGTTGTTGAGCAGGGACCGACCGTCCCAGCATTCCTTTAGGCCTACACGACATGTTCATAGAACCCCAGAGTTTTCGAATCACAAAACAATGTTCTTACGCGAGAGCGCGTTTCACGGGCGCTTGCCTTGGGACCAGTCGGCGGCGCGTTTCGAACCGGGGGGGGGCACCCCCAACACTCGGCGCCGTCGATCAAAACCAGGGGGGCTCCCCTCCCCCCAATGCCCCCCCCTCCCGATGGCCCCCCCCTCCTCCCAGGGGGGGGGGTTCTACCCCCCCCGTCGGCCCCGACGCCGGCGCTGGCGGCCGCCAGCAGCGCCGACGGCGGGGACGCAGCGACGATGCCCAGAGGCAGCCCACGGGGGGGGGGGAGGGAGATTTCAAACCCCCCCTCCTGGCGCCGGCGCCAGCGCCGGCGCTGGCGGCGGACAGAAGCGCCGGCGCTGGCGCTGGCGACGGCGGGAACGCAGCGACGATTACCACCACTACAACCACCGCCACCACTACCACCACCACCACCGCCTCAACCCAACACCACCACCAACCCACCACACAACCACCACCAAAGCCACCACCACCACAACCACCATCACCACAACTCACCATCACCACCACCACAAAAACCCACCACCACTACCACCACCAGTCTACCACACCACCACCACCACCACTGCCACAACCACCACCACTACCAGCAGCACAACCCACCACCAGCACAAACCACCACAACACCACCACCACCACCACCGCCACCACCACCACCACCAGCACCACCTCCACAAACCACCGCCACCACCACAACCCACCACCCACCCACCAACACGTCACCACCACCAAACCACCACCACCACCACAACCCACCACCACCACCACCACCACCACCACCACCACCACCACCACCACCACCAACAACCACCACCACCACCACCACACCACCAAACCACCACCACCACCACCAGAACCACCACCACCACCACAACAAACAACCACATCACCACCACCACAACCACCACCACCGCCGCCGCCACCACCACAACCCACCACCACCACCACCACCGTCGTCCTCGTCGACGCTCCCCGCCGCCGCCGCTGCCCGCCGCCGCAGGCGCCGGCGCCAGCCCAGAAAAGGAAATCGTCGTCCCCGCTGCCGCCGCCAGCCGCCGCCGACGCAGGCGTCGGCCCGAGGAGAGGGAGAGAGGAGAAGTAGGAGAGGAAGGGGGGGGGTCCGGTTCCAACCCCACCCCACCCCTCCAACCGACCACAGAACGCGCTCTTTCTTAGAACATAGCCCCGACGCGTGAAAACAAAACAGTCCCAACCATAAATTTTCGATGAACATTTCGCGCAAACCCCGAAAGGTTCTTCGATCATTCTTTGGTAGACCTACTGTATAGACGAGCCGTGAAGCTTCGCCACTGCTTGAAATCGGGAAATTCTCGGAGGAGTGTCGGCCGGCCTCGCAGGTCGCACACAGACAGCTCGCGGTGCTGAGTCGACCACTTTCGCTCTAGCCCTCGAGGGCTTAAGGGGTGCTGTTCGGTGTGCTGCCGATCAGAAGCCTCTGCCTGACGGGTCGGGGCGGGGGGGGCGCTCGCGTGTACAACGGGCGGAATGGGGATCTGTGGTTGCGCAGTTGAAGGGCTCTTCCGAGCCGAAGTGAGGATGAAGTCTCTGTGGAGTGGACCCCCTCCCGTATCGATCCACACGATCCCTGACTCGGCCCAGGTCTGAAGCTCATAGCTGTGGGCAAGGCCGCGGTTGACTTTGCTGTTGGGGAGGCCGCCGAACGGAATTGGACGGCGGGCCTCACTGGCGATGCTCCTGCAACGGACTAGTGGGACACCACCGCTGCCCTCGCTAGGAGGAAAGCTCGGCGGGCCCTTGCTGACGCGGCAGCGGCTGACCCCACCAAAAGTAAGGACAGTCTCCAGGCCCCAGCGAGGGCCCGTTTTGGCACCACGAGGGATAGATGGGACAGCTCGCGCTAGTGCCCACTGTATTTCGAGGTGTGGGAAGCGTTGTCAGTGCTTTAGGTGCACCTGCTTCTCTACCTGGGGCAAGCTCGTGGAATTCAGTTCGACGGACTGCTTGTCCGATGTGGCCCAGAAGTGGCTCAAGGATGCTGTAGGTTCGGTCCCGAGGCCCGTGGTTGTCTGCGGCCTCGCTCCTTGTGATTCCCACCGCCTTGGTTTCTGGAACCGCTACAGCATGCATGTCTACCGCCACTGCCCACGTGCAGCCACTCTTGACTGGCGCCAGCTTGCTGCTCTGGTGGTTCCAACCCCTCTAGGACGGGTCGAGGGAACTCGGCCCGCATCGCGCAAAGTGAATGAATGTCCCAGCTGCGCAAGGCCACCCAAGACGGCCCTTGCTGCTGGCTGGAAGCGCGAGGCTGCGGCGATTACAGCGCAGGCGTCTGCATGCCGTGTTGTGCATCCATCGGCTGGCTGACGCCTCACCCTCATCTCCTTTTTCCCTGCACGCTGTGCTGCACAAATGCTCGATCTGCTGTTCTAGAAGAAGAAGAAGAAACAGAAGAAGAAGAAGAGGAAATGCCATAAACAAACAATCCGTTGGCGCTCCGCGCGGATTTCTTGGATCTACGCTGGACCCCCCTGCCTGGCGCGCGGGGCGCAGGGTCGGCGCCAAAGGCGCCGCCGGGGGGGCCCAGCTCGGATCCAAGGAATACGCGCGGAGCGCCGAAAGGTTATGTTGATGGCGTTGTTTCTTCTTTGAAATTCCTTCTCCCCCTCCCCCTCCTTCAGCCTACAGCGCCCGCTCGACCCAGGACTCCCCAAATAGAGATCGGCAGCCAGCGCCAAGGCGCTATCGCCGCGCCGCCAAGGCCCCCCCCGGGCCCTCTGAAATTGTTTCCCCCCCCTGTCCGTCCTCTCCCCCCCTCCGCACCCCCCACCCCCGCGGTGGGGCAAGGGGGGGCAACTTCCAACTTCCCAAACGCCCTCGCGTCGTGAAACAATCACGACGGAAAGTTTTTCGCGATTTTCGGCATCTGGGGGCCATCAGACCTCTGGGGGTCGACGTCGTGAAACAATCACGACGTCGGGGGTCAGGGTTTCATACTCAAGTATACGCAACACGAGACTGAAGCCCGACATCAGCCATGCCGCCTTCTAGAGACTGCACGAGCAGCACGATGCGTTGACGATTGTTCCGACGCGGGCAGCGGAAGACGGAAGCACGGGGCATCAAACAAAACAGCGCGTGCCCGGCCGCCGCCGCGGGGGGGGAGCGGGGCAGCCGCCGCGCCTGTCG